GGTTAGTTTTAGAAACATCTTCTACATACTTCCACTAGGTGGTTCAAACAATGTTATTTGAGGATTGTTGAAACGCAATGAGCGATCTTCCACACCACTTTTCAAAGCATTAGTTCCATTAGAAATATAATTGTTCGTAGTAGTACACGAGGCAAATTTTCCATACGGCATCTGTTTGTCCTCTCGACATTTTTCCGTTTGTTTAACGTTAGTTCCCAGTCCTGTACGTGATAATAGTTTCATTTCGGAATCTAACACTTAACGGAAACCTTCACATTCGACAGTTAGGAAATTAATACGTTGTTTGCGAATATAGCACATGTAACTTTGTAATCCCATAATCAGTCTACCTTCTTCACCTCTAAAATAAATTTAGTCAACCAACAAGTCACATCTTTTATATCCATTACATCGAGACTTGATATTGATGATTTTCACGTGCTCGTCAGAATTGAGTTCCATACGCGGACCATGATGGCCCATTCGTTGAATGCACGAAGTGTCCACAGGTTGCGTCGCTGTGTATTCATAGGAATTGCATCTTTAGCAACTGCTCGTACTGTTGAATCACAGGGTCAGTAAAAAGTCCATGTGGATGTCTCTGAAACAATATAAATAAATGACATGTCATTAAGTTTTTTTTAGATCTTTCATAAAACAATAAACGGTGTTCGTTATTATTATTTATAATCAATGAGCACAATATCACGTACCTTAGGAACATGCAACTCTTGCAAATCAACATTTTCCATGCCGAGTTCATTCAGATACTCTGCAGCCTGGGTAGCCTCGATCAACTCGTCCTTACTGACGTCTGAAAATACAGGGTAACTCATTGTCCCAACAATGCCAAAAAGAGAGGAATGCCTCCTGGGCTTCTTATTTATACCCCTCGATACCGTGTTTTGCGAATCACATCATTTTCAGAATCATGGGATATATTTCAATCAATCTGATTGGTTAAAATCTTAATTATTTGTCGATTCTATGGAAAATTACGAACAATAGGGTGAAACCTTTGTTCTGATATCCACCTCAAATGAGAATACAATTGATTTGGGGTTATTTCATTATACAATAAGGGGTCTTCCCCTGCAATTCATCGCTCGGTGTGTTTGTTGGATATAGCACGACTACCTCGGACTACCAACCGTAGGTTGATATTATGGCTATCGCCTCGGTAGTCATGCTATATCTAACACATGACATCTAATTAGATGTAGGTTTCCACACCTTGATACACTTCGGTCACAATATGTATTAATTGCATCGTTTGTTTTGGGGAGAACATTACTGGCATAATATGCTTTTTTTTTTATAAATCACTGAACTTTTGACTTCTAAAATGTTCATGTATCAACAATTTCAGATGATTTAGTCTATGAAACATCAAGTTTGTACTGGCAACAAGCACATGGCGAAGCTCAAATCTATTAAATTTCAATCATTTCACTTCAGGAGATAAATGATAAAAGAAAGAGCAAAAAATGAACAATAAGAGTAACATAAATAGAGAACAGATTGTTTTGATGGTACACTATATATAATTTCAAAAAGAGTCATAACACACTAAACTGAACAAGTTAATGAACAAGTAAATTTAAACAAAAGACAAGGATACTGACATTTGATTAAATACTCTTCCTAGCATTCCTGGAATTTTATCTTCAGAAACTGTCGACAGAAAATCGCGACATGCATAAATCTCAGGAACAGTGATCATGGTATGAGGTCGGCCTACTGGGCAATTTGTATTGGGTGATCTGCTAATAAGACGGGAGTTCCATTCAAATGCAACACCATTTAGCTCGTCCTAGTACAAAAAGTCATTATTTAACAGGTAAATTTAACTAAGTTTTCTTTTCAAAATATATGCGATTTGGACCACCCCTGGAATTATGTTCGTGTTGCTATCTTCAAATCTTAGTTTAAACGGAGCTTAGTTTCTTATCATATAATTCAATGTTTTTTTTTTAAATATAAAAAAAAACATTAATAAAACAAGTTTAACAGTCAGTAAATGCTTTAATTATTCATTGGATGTTAAATTTACTCGCTGGTGTAATCTGATAAAATTAATTCTCTGAACACTTGACATCACAATGGACCCTGTAAATATCCTCAAATTAGTAAAATTAATAGCAATGAAGAATAATGTCAGTATACACATACATCTATGTACCACTAGCATACATTATATTACAATATTTTTATGCAGTGCGAATGGTGTAGAATTATGGAATATTTAAACTACAGTCTTATTGGAAATATACATGAATATGCGTGTG